AGAAGGCAGTCTGTGGAGATGTTGCAGAAAAAATCAAAATCCAAGAAAAAAACATTGAGATATTTAAAATATTTAGTTTGTCTCTCTCTGCTTCTTTTCTGCTAACACACAGTTGTCATTATCACAGCAGTGAAAGATGGTTTTACCCCGCTTGTCTAGTTCAGACTAAATTGCAAATCTGAAGCACTTAAAGACGCAGCTGAGTGTTTTCCATGGAAACCAGCATCAAATCATTGTCTTACCTGCTATTATGCTACAGAAATAGCCCACAGATTGCAGGCTGCAATAGCAGATAATTTTTGAATTTCTCTCAATGGGAACATTTTCATGGATGTCCTTGAGGCCAGTAACAGTGTTAAAATGTTCCGGGAACAGCAGCAGACATGCGTCACTACCCTTCCTCCAATCAGCCGTTTTCATGAATTGTTTTTGTTCCTCTACATTTTGATAGGGTGAGTGTCTTCAAGCCAGTTGTTGTGGCCTTTCCTGTTTGCTGTGTTGTTCTCTGAGAATATCCACATCATGGCAGGGTTTAATACTTTTTATGTCTCATTGATTTATAGCCAACCCATCAAAGACCCTGCTAGGTGATCAATCACTCCTGCACTCAAAACACTGTCCTGCATATTGCTGCTACTGGAAATGCTCTAGGATTCACCCAGGGCCAATGAGGGAGCACAGTTGTAAAGAAGGCGGGTACATCTCAAATTGAATAAAACACTTTTCAAGACCAACAGTAAAAGCCCTGGTTAATCATATTTACACAACCAAACATTACAATATGTATTCAATAAAATAAAGCAATACCAAATACACAACTCTTATATTGTTATGTGATTAATATCAATAACTAGATGCTTTTTCACTCCAAATCAAATACAGCCATAGGTATAAGCAGGGTTGGGAGGGTTACTTTGTAAATATAATCAGTTACTGATTACTGAATACATGGCTCTGAAAGTAATCCGAATACAGTTACAGTTACGTGTCTTAAAAACGTAATCAGATTACTTTTAGATTACTTTTGGATTACTTTCTTTTTCCATCACAGATGGGTATGTTTTGGTGAACAGGAGACACAAAAATCAAAAGGAAACTGAACGTGTTTTTACTGTTTTAATGGCGTATCAAGAGCACAACTGAAACATAACATCTGAAACAATGTAACAACATAATACACTTTTTGAGGATGCAGCTTGGGATGTGAGGAGTGAGGGACACGGCTTAGAACGGGCGTGTCGCCTTCTGTCCTGCCAGTGTTGGCAGGACATGAATTCAAATGTCGAACTCGGACTTCATTTTAAGGACATTTCGGCCAGGGGTGTAGAGCTATATTTGTTTAAGCACCGGATTGGCAAAACAGGAGAGTGTGTGCACCAGTCTGCCTTGATCTATGAATTCATGTCCGTGACACTCACAGTATCTGCTGCCCACAGCTGTTTTATAGAAGGAAAACCTCCTTCACTTCATGAAATCTCTGCAGCACCAGGAGGTAGCGGGAGGGTTAACTCAGCCTCTGAGAAGACGAGCGCGCACCGCCTTTCACGCACCGCCTTTCAAGCACCGCCTTCGCTGTGTTTACCTTCAGAATCATAAGGCTAAAGAGCGACCGCAGGCTGATGTGTTTTAACCACACACACCTCTACACATACACGACTTAAACGCAGACTTTTGTTCCTCCATGTTTCGTTGTTATTGTTTCACTGAGCGGACCCGCCCCTTTTTTTTCAAACGCTCCCTTTTTTGGTCCATCTGCGGCGGTAAAAGTTGTTGTGCGCTGTGATGATTCGGCTGTACCTTTAGTAATGAATATTAAATGTTGTGAGGATATCTTTCCACCAATAATTCCAATAAGTAATCCAAAATGTATTCACTTCAGGTTTACGAAAGTAGGCCAACTGTAATCAGATTACTCGTTTTTCAAATGTAACGCGAGCTGAATACGGCCCGTCCACACAGCGGCGTGCATTGAAGCTTCCAACGCTTCTGCCCATTCACTTTGAATGGGGTGACGTCACTTTTAGCCGAACTGCATTTTGGGAAGCGACGTGGAGCGTTGCTGGCGTAGCTGGCGTCAAAAGTTGAGCAATGTTCAACTTTTGACGCCTCGACGGAGGCGTCAGCCAATGAAATCCCGTTTATGCAAATCTGCCAATCAATCGCTAGCCAATCAAACCGCGTGTATGCTGGGAGAGACTACGTAGGTCATTTCCTCATATTCAAAAAAATGGAGGGAAAATTCATTATAGCGGTAGTGAATCACCCGGTGCTGTATGATCAGTCTCTGTTCATCTACCGCAGAGGTGCCCAGTACGTCGACCGCGGGCGACCGGTCGACCGCGGGGGCAATGCTGGTAGATCGCGAGTCATTCATAAAAAAAAAATCCTGTCCGTTAAAATAGACAAAACAGGTTTTGATCCCTCCTCCCTTGGCCTCCCTGCCACTTAATTGAGGAGTTTACTTGATTGACAGAAAAAGCGACCTATCGCTTTCCAGTCTGTTAACCCAGAATGCAAAGCGATACAAAATCAGTCAAGTGCCGGGAAAACTCAAATTAAGTTAAAGAGACAAACAAGAGACAAACAACAAAATGAGTGCGGGACCGAGCAAGAAGCTAAAGACATACCACTTCCACCCAGAATGGGAGGGAGAATATTTGTTTGTGATTCACATTCAAAGGTTATTTGCCTTATTTGTAAAGCAAGCGTCGCTCTGCCAAAGAAAGGTAACGTGGAGAGGCATTATCGGAGTGTTCACAAGGCATATGACAGCGACTTCCCTCCGAGTAGCGAGTTGAGAAAGAGAAAGGTCATGTATTATTGCTACACAAATATTATCTCGCAGTCTTAGTGTCGCCAACTCGTTTCTAACATGCGAAAAGACAAACAAATGTCGGTGTATTTTCGATCTTTCCAATCCAGACGAGATCTCTCTCCCCCGTCTGTGCGCGAGGGGGCGGGGCAGTTTACACACACGCGGCTGCTACAAGCAGCAACACACGGAGGAGATGGCGGAGAGAAGCGCTCCAAGGTGTGGTTAAATGTTACCCGTCTTTAGGTGGACAATGCTCCTTGCCAAGAGAGTTCAGCATGTGAGGGCGGGAACACAAGCAATGTGTCAAACATTTAGCAAAAGTGCTCCACATTCAGACGGAGGAATGCACCGGGTTCGACTGTCTTTCTAGTAGCTCTGTAGCCCCATCCACGAGTAACGTTTCCACGTCAGGTGTTATGTATGCTAGCAGCAACACACGCAGTTAACTCAATGATTCAAACATGGGTTAATGATTATAGGAAACTGAGTTACTCTTTATTTTGTTAAAGTTTCAGCTATTCTGTTCACAGTTCTGTCATCAGATTATTTAATACGATTTGTTAAAATATTGTTGTTTCTTTTGATGTGAAATATTATTTATTTAATTTAAATAAAAAGCAATGTTAGTTTTGTTCACAATTTGTTAATTTAATAATATATGTATTTTTGAATCAAGTATTCATCTTTATTGTCTTCATTGTTAGTTTCCACATGCCTAAAACAACCTCAAGCTAAATTTAAAAGTTGATGGCTAAACAAGAGCGTTTGAGAAATTGTGCAAGGCATACAGTAATAGTCTGAATAGTCGATTAGTCGTTTCATTAATCGATAGATTAATCGATTATCAAATTAGTCGTTTGTTGCAGCCCTATTATCCCATGTATAAATAAAACGTGTTATTCAGCAACCCTTGCAATTTGGGATTTTATTTTTGGTTGGTAGACCTCGGTGAGCTGGTCATTTCAAAAGTAGCTCACCAGCCCAAAAAGTGTGGGCACCCCTGATCTACCGGGATACAAACCGGAGGAGCGAGGCATGGAGGGAGGTGGCAAAGACAGTGGGTGAAACTGGTAGGTTTTCGCCTGTTTGGGGATTTTATATCCAGTTTACTTCGTTTTAACATTGCTATTGCTTTGTATGTCGGGGGCGGGAGATTCATGTGATTGGTTGTTGGTCGCGTTGCTCGCAAAAAATCCCCAAGCTTCAGATACGCCCACCTCCAAGCGTCAACGCACGTTGCTGTGTGGACGCTCTAGCCTACTTGATTTTTGTATTCTGATTACGTAACGCCGTTACATGTATTCCGTTACAACCCAACCCTGTGTATAAGGCACCAAACACATCATAGATCCTGTGTCTAAAAAGGACAACAAACACCGTTGAGTTCATTTTAGGTCAGTTTGTAATAAGTGTGCATCTCTTTGTGGTTGTTTTGAACCTCTTTGGAAGTTGTATTGTGTCTTTGTGGTTATTTATCTCCATGGTTTCTTTGTCTGGGTTTGAGGTTGTTTTTGATTCAGTCTGTGGTGCTTTTGCTTCTTGTTGTAATGATTGTGTATAGCAGTTGAAATTATGTGGAAATTGCTGTTTAGCATTGTTATGGTCTTTTCCCCTCTGTTTGTGTGTCATTGTGTTTTATTGCGACTCTTTGACGTTGACTCAGTCCATTTTTACCGACACTCTGGTGCAGGGACAACAACATGGATCAATTATGTTGAGATTTACTCTAAGCAGCTATGGATTGTTTTCATTTGCAGTTAAAATGATGTTATGGACTATGAACCCATTCACGCCCTAAGGCTATTTATTTTTGGGAAACTGTCCGTGGTGCTGAAAGTAAAAAAGAATGCCAGAGGCTACAATAAATCACCTTCATGGGAATTTCAATGCCTTTTGGACTTAAACTCCACAGTAGCCTTCAGTCTTACTAACCTGCATTGGATTGCTGAAAAACACCTGCAGGGAATTAGATGGTAAACTGTATGGTACTGTGAGTCACACACGGGGCAGCAGAATAAGTTCCTCACAAATTGCACCCAGCAGGGAACCAGACTGTGTGCCTAGAGGCGCAGGCGTAAATTAGAGTCTTATGAATAGTTTGATATCTGGAACAAAGTCCCACGCATGTGAAAAAAACAGGATGATTTGTTTTTCTTCTTCCAATACAGTGTTGCAACTTGTTTTTTAAAACGTCTCTCCTGCCAGTTGCATTTGTAGACTAAACTGCTGTCTGACTTGGTTCTGTCTGACGAGGTGCGAATCCCAAAGGAACTAACTTCCTCCTCCTCCTCCTCCTCCTCTTCCTCCTCCTCCTCACATCGTGGTGCCGCAGCAGCCTGCACGGTGCGTTCTGCAGCAGCAACAACAGCAGCAGCAGCAGCAACAACAACGGCACCTGTCGTTTTCTGGACCAGCTGATAACCGGTTTAGGAGTAAATCAAGATATTCCCCGAAACAATTACGAGCCGAACACGGCGATGATGTGTGAATACCGATGGCTTCATGTGTAGATATTTGCGCCTGTGAAAATTACGCATCGGTAAGTTCCTTTCACTTGTTTTCCTCCAGCCGACTGCTGCGCGCTTTTACTCTCGTCTTCAATCAGATAGCTATTCACTCAAGCCGAGGCTATATGTTAAACATATATATAAATGTATTCTTTAAACGCCGCTGAGCAATCTGTGTGGTTTTGAGTGAGACTGTTCAGTATGAAGGATAGACGCTTTTCTTGCTGATGTTGTCCATGTGCAAAGCGAAGGTCACCCACATGCTTTGATGAATTAAACGTTTACGAATGCGGGAATAAATGGAAAATAGCAATGGCAAAATTAGCCTCTTTATTCCGGAGCTCCAGGGGTTTCACTGATTAAATGTAGCCAATTAAACACTGTTGCATGTTTCCTTTCACAAATCTTTTGACATTTTGCAAGCTGTGATTTAAATAGGACTCTAGCAATATAAAGTGTAACTGTTGGTCCTGTTATGCATCCCATATTATGCCCTGTATTATTACTGCTAATGAACATTAGCAAAAAACATGAAGCTGCCCAAAAAATGATTTTGAATGAGTGCACAATGGCAGACATGCAATACCTTTTTGCAGTCACTAACCAGACTTGCTTTTAGGTTAAATGAAAGTGTTTTACTGGGATCGCTTTAAACCAAAAATCAATTATGAATGCACCATGATGTTCAGAGGAATTCAACAGACATGAGGAGGAAGCTGATGTGTTGTGACAGATCTCTCAAAAAATCCATTTAAAATAGAGATTAATCATTAAGGAGAGCTTTTCTCTCTTGTTTGTCTCTGAAGCATGCATCTAGACATGCACAGAGTATGCATGTGCACACATGTACTCTGTTTTCTTAAATACTGGGACTGAACACCATTAATATTTCCCCTAAATTCCCACAAAGCTTCACAGTTCTTTACACATGTATCCCCATGATGTGAAAATCAAAGTCTCTTGCTTTTTTGCCCTCGGGATAGTTTTGATTCTCCTCTTTTGCTTCTTGCACCAGTGCTTCCTCTATCAAAGCAATATGGTTTTGTCCTACAGTAAATACCAAGGACTGTTTTTAAATTGAATTTGCAGCCTCTAGCAACATGGCTGCTGTGACATTTTAGGTTGTTATGCCTTTACTGACAAGTCGTTTTCTCCATCTGACTTTCTTATGTTTGTGTGTTTTTTCTGTTTAAATGTGCACCCCCGACAGTCTGGTTTCAGCCCTACTTGACACGTTATCCCTCCTCTATATCTCCGGGCTTTTCCTCCGAGCACGGTCTGTCCTATTTGACAAAGCATCCGAGAGATGCTTTAGAGGTAATTGGATTCAGTACTAGGGAAGGGACACAGAGAGGAATTTGTCTGTGTGTGTGTGCATGAATTAGCTTAGCTAGTTTAAGTGTGTGTGTGTGTGTGTGTGTGTGTGTGTGTGTGTGTGTGTGTGTGTGTGTGTGTGTGTGTGTGTGTGTGTGTGTGTGTGTGTGTGTGTGTGTGTGTGTGTGTGTGTGTGTGTGTGTGTGTGTGTGTGTGTGTGTGTGTGTGTGTGTGTGTGTGTGTGTGTGTGTGTGTGTGTGTGTGTGTGTGTGTCTGCTGGTGCTGGCCAGTGTGTGTGTGTTTGCAGTGATTCATTTTGTTCAGGAAGCTGTGTGGATGAGTAAGACATGAAAGGGGGGGGGGGTGAAGAGGGAATGTTTTAAAGTCAGACCCAGGCATACACGTCATCTTAAAATAAATCTGTGTTCCTTCCAAATTTCTACACATTTCTACTTTAGTAATCAACTTGTCCTTCATAAAATATATGATTTGTCTCGATATTCTCTTTTACAGTTATTTAGAGTGCAGGTGATGACAGATCTATTATAACTAGGGTTGCAAAATTCCGGGAATTTTCAAAGATGGAAACTTTCCACGGGAATTAACGGGAATTTATGGGAATAAACTGGGAATTTTCTAAATTGAAGGTTGGCTCTTCATAGGGAACTTCAATATAGTTGGGGAAAGTATATTTTAGCAGAATCTTGACTAAAACAAATATATGCCATTCAAGTACACTTGAATATCCATGCCATAGCACACTGCTTACTGCATGGCTATTGAGACCACACAAAGGTTCGCAACAGGCTCACAAATGTGAGAGTGGAAAAACTGGTTGGCATTCGGGCAAACCTAAGGCTCTCTGAGCCTGACACAGAGCCATCCTCAACAAGGCTGGACAGTGACACTGAAGAGGAAGACTCAGAGTGTGATGTTGATGAGGCCCAGGAAGAGCCCGTTGACTGAAAGGGTTTAGCCAAAATGCAGAGGATCACTTGAATTTCATTTAACATTTTGAATGGGACTTTTGGCTGGGGGGTGCATTTTTGTGGGGTTGTGGGGGATGAGTGATATTTAATTCAACATTCCTGTTTTCGTTCTTCAATGAAACAAATAATTGTTCAATAAAATAATTAAAAGTTGTTCTGTTCTACTTAAAAAAATCTGTTGAAATGTCATGTTTTTTGTTTAATTTTGCATCGAATATTTCCAAAATTCCCCAGCTTAACTTCCCATGGAAACTTTCCGGAGATTTACCGGAAACTTTCCGCCCCTTTGCAACCCTAATTATAACGTCAGTTAATAAACAACAAATGCTTCCTCTGTGATTTGATAGAAGGGGTTTTTTGAGTGTAGGATTGTGTTAGGACGAGATATGAAGTGACGCATACCCGCTGAAGCGATGTGTATATTTATGTGTGTGAGTTGAAGACAATGTTGTGAAAATATTTGGCCGAAAATAAAGCTTATTGTCATTATAGTTGAATCATGACTATTCCACCAGTTTTTCGGGTTGAAGAGAGAAGATTGTGGGACATTGCAAAGGTTTCCTATGAGTCAATTATTATGCTGTTATACAGACTTTAAACTTTTGGGCAAAGTAAGTCTTGGTTTCTCCTGTTGACATACACATCTCCTGTTGAAAGCTCAAACTATTAAAAATGTCAGAAAGGATATGTATATATACTGTATATGTTTCTCAGAAAGAAAGTGGAAAAAGCCTTGTGAGCAGTGAGCTACAACTCCTAAGGTGCATTTCTACAAGAGACATGCAGTCACAGAGTTTAAAATGCATTGATGTGGGCTGATGGGGGCTAAAGAAAGGTGATTTAACAACCTGCAGTTTCAAGTAATTCAGTGTTACATTTGTGTTCAATTTTGGATAAATGCAGCAACTACGGTGCTTTTTCTCCACTGCACCTACAAAAGAGCTCTGAATCTCTTTGTTATCAGCCATTTTAATGGGTGTTATCAGTGACTATCAGCCTTTTATATGTTGTTCAAAAGGACTGTGCTACAGCTACTAATTGATTTAATCATCTATTCACACAGTTGATTACCAAAAGAAGGAATACAAGATGACCAAACTGACATATAATAGTGATTATAACAGGAACAGAAGCAGAAGTGAGGTGACGTAGTGTCAAGATCGGGATACTCTATAGTGGGTGGAGGTCTGGGGCCGTGTACTATACAGTATAAGATACAAAGCATCCAGGAGACAGATGAATGTGTCCTATGTAAAACCAACAGAATTGTTTTGTCTTTGAGCTCAACCCTTAGATGCACGAGTGACTGGACCCTACACTCTTCCATAGGTGGGTCTAAAAGGACCTGTATTAGAATAATATGTGATTTTATGCCATTTTGGTGAAGAAAAATCACTTGTATAATATTTAGTATTATATTTTGGTTCACATTAGAAATATTTTATATTTAATTTTTCACAATTTATAATTTTATAATGTTTTTTTTACATTTTGGAAAAAAACGTTTTGAACACATTGTCTCCGCTTTTCTGAGACCCTCACAGTATTCCAGTCCCTTTTCAAAACTCATCTCTTCTCCTCTTATCTACTCATAGCCCCCCTCATCAATCCATGCCGGTTGATCAAGTTTGATAGTCCTATACCCCCCCCACCCTAACCTTCCCTTATATTGTAAAGCGATTTACAAATATAATGTATTATTATTATTATTATTATTATTATTATACTGACAGGTATCAGATCTTGCTGTGTAAAAATAATCTTCCTGAGAAGTGTCACTTGTGATGTAGTCTGTGTTCTACAGTGAATGTATTCCTGACATACACAGGTGATAAGAATCAAAGGTTCCCATAGGATTCCATAGAAAATGCATGCGGGTCATTTTTTACCCACTTATGGAAGCTTGGGGTAGTAATACAAAAACTACAATTTCTTAAAATTGATATCCAAAACATGTTTTTTGAGGAATAGCTGGAATATGAAATGATATAAAAATGTAATTACAAAGATACTTCAAGAAAACCACCTCACCGGGTCAAAAAAGACCCACTTATGGAAGCTTGGGGTAGACATCGTTTCATTTGACAAACGTGGTTATTTTACATTCAAACCTATATATATTTTTTGTACTAAACCTGGCTGAGTTGTTAGTGATCCCACTAAAAGAAGTTGGAAGTTGTTGTGTTTGTCATAATGTTACGTTTCATTGAGTTTTACAAAGTTCAAGTCCTTTTTCACTTTCACTTCACTAGTAGGGGTAGTTTGACCCGTCCGACTCATTACAATGGTAGCGAAAACCACTGATAACATTCATTGAATCCTCTGAAAACAATTCAAATGAGTTGAATTCGCTATCCAACTGACTCGCATCTTTGCTTCTTAATGGCAACTGTGTTCGATGCTCATGGTATTGTAGTATTTTGAATTCCCATGTTTCTACGTTGAGTAACATCGAGGATATTGTCTAAAGAAAACACTCCCCACTTTTCAACTAACATCTTAAAAAACTAAAACATTTCCTCTGCTGCAGTTAGCAACAACACTTTTCTTTACTCGAGTTTCCAAAACATATAAAAGGTTTAACAGTAAATCCTTTCAAAATGTCAATCTTATGTCTGTATAGTGCTTTTCTTATAATAATATAACAAATAAAAAACTGAAGCAGTTTCCTGTTGTGTTTCCTTGTTGTTGTTTGTTCCCTTTCAGAGCCTTTTTCTCTCTGTGTGTTATATTTCAGAGCCCTTGATGCTGAAGAGTGGTGACGCTGAGGGGAGCAATTTCAGTGCATCCCTGTGAAAACACACACACTGAGACACACACACATATTGTGGAGCTTTGTGGATACAAGCCCTTCAGAGGAGACGATGAGAGGCTACCTGCTGACTGCAATCTTTCTCCTGCCCTTGGTGAGTAGTTTGTGCAAGCATCTATGTTCTTTGCACACTTGTAGGTGTGTGAGTGGGTGTTTTAGGAGCATACAAGAATGTAGAATCATATTATATATAAGGGAGTGAGTGGGTTCACATGTCTCCATCATCAGCCCGCTCTCTCTTAGCTTCAGATTTGTTTTATTTTTACTTGTGCACTCTGGTGGGTGTGTGTTTATGTCAGGCGCTGGAAGCGTGGAAATCACCATATGCCGCATCAGCATACGTTACAGGTCCACGATCAGCTCTGCACTAAGACGACTGGTCGCCTTACAGAACAATAACAGATGGCCCAGCTGACCAGAGAGCTACCTATCCATCTGCTGTGACTCACTTTTCTTAGAGGCCTCAGTGAAATAAAATGCAGAATGCTGAGAATGTTGTGCAGGATGTGTGGGAGGAAATATATCCAGCTCAATGCAGCAGCAGTTTCAGAAGCTACAGATTATAGTTGGTGTATGTAAAAATACATTTATTACGTGACCTTGATATACTTCCGTTATTTTTGAATGTCATGATGACGTCTTTATCTTAACTAATCACAAATAGAGTTCAAATGAATTCACAGTGCGATCTTGCAGTAACAAACATCTTCTCCAACCTAAAATGTGTGACAGGTTCCTCCTCTTGACTTGTTAGCACAGTGCACTGTCAAGCTGACCTTCAGCGGCAGATGTGGCAGATACGTCTGTTATGATGTACTTATTGTGTGTCAAACAGGTCTCTACGCTGGGCCAGTGGTCTGCAACGTCAAATTTGAGTTTTATTATCCGCGCTGTAGGAGCTACTGAGTTATCTGGCCGTTGAAAAATAGCCTAGGGGAAGGAAACATGGATCTGCAGCTTAAAAATTGACTGTTTATCTGGACAGACATCTGTTCAAGGGAGAGGAGGGGAGTTAGTGGGGGAAAAAAATATTGATTGGTCTTTTGTCTTGTGCTATTCGTCATGGTGCCTGTTTTAGCAGTCCTCAGTTAACCTGGACTGGGTTGCAGAAGCTCTCAGTAAAACCAAGTCTCTGTCCTTCCTAATTTCTCAAAAGCTAGTTTCGAGCTAGTGGTTTCCTAAAGATTGCACTATTAAAAACAACATAAAAAAGACACCTATTCATTTGTCTGTCGGTTAAATATGAAGCTACAGCCAGGAGGCAGTTAGCCTAGCTTAGCATAAAGATGATAAAGGATGGAAAAGCTTTCCTGGATCTAAGGGTAACAACATCTAACTCCCAGCTGCTGTAAAGCTCTCTAATTAAAAAGTGATGTCCTGTTCAAAAAGTTCAAAATAGCATTTGGCTGCGTTAGGGGGGGGGGGGGTTGTGTCCATGATTATTCTTCCTAGTCTCAGTGGGTTGCCTAGCAGTTGCTCTGGGGGCAGCCATCAATGGTCCGGCCCATAACCCCATCCTAAAACCGCAGGCGTCAGCAGCAGCTCAATCTTCAGTGGTGTGTGTGTGTGTGTGTGTGTGTGTGTGTGTGTGTGTGTGTGTGTGTGTGTGTGTGTGTGTGTGTGTGTGTGTGTGTGTGTGTGTGTGTGTGTGTGTGTGTGTGTGTGTGTGGTGTGTGTGTGTGTGTGTGTGTGTGTGTGTGTGTGTGTGTGTGTGTGTGTGTGTGTCTTTGCAAATGTGCATTGAATTTACATTGAATAACTAAATTCTATACACATTTTAATTGCAGCTAAAAAGAAAAAACCGCTTATAAACTGAATAACACATAACATGCTATCCAAGATATGACATCATACAGTATATTGATGTATATTGATGTATAACACATGTCATCTAACAGGCCTGCTGCAGTCATGCCAAACAGATATTAGTAATCTACATGCAATTATATTTCATTTCTACGAATCCTTGCATACAATATGTATTGGCTCCAAGCTGGCTACCTGCTGCTTAGCAACATGGATGCTTGCTGCGGGTACAAAGAGATTGTTCTTTCAAGCAATGCCAGTGTCCGTTTCATTAAATAATATCAAACACTCCTGACAACATAAAAGAGAGTTCCTTAATATCGTTTTTGTTTTTGTTATGCCAGCATGGTCTCCGTGTAGTTTCCACTGCTTGATAAGGGTTGTCTGGAAATGAAATCGCATACAAGACAAAATGAGATAAAAGATGTCTCTGATGATGTTTCGCATTATTCATGCAGCGTTTAAAATTCTGCCCATGTGCTGCTCTTTAAAAAAAAAAAAAAAAGGAAGTGAATCCTAGGACATCTTCACAGTCGGTTGATGCCCTATCTTATCAAGGCAGCGAGGCCTGGAGTGAATTCATATTGGAGCGCAGGGAGAGAGTGATGAGTCAGCCACGACTGAGAGTGCCGGGACATATTACACCTATCAGTTCACTGTGAGCGTGAAGGAGAGGCAGTGCATGAAAACTAAGGGTGCAAAACAGAGATTGGCCTTAAGAGTGCTAGAGGGAGAGTTATAGAGGAGTTGATAGACATGCAGTTCCTCGACAACCTCTGGGGAAATGGCTTTCCTAAACTTCAGTTATGGGAATGCTTTATCAAGTGGAGCAGAATGAGGATCTGGGAAGTATGTTTGGGAGGAATTGGATGTAATTGCTCAGAGGTTTCATGTCATTGCACAAAAATGGACATGAAAAAGCAGATTCTTGGAAAGCAACAAATTGGAACCTCCACGTAGAACTCCATCAACCTCCATTTGCTTTAATTTGGATAGAAAAATAACCAGAAAGTTACAATTAAAAGGTTTTTTAAAAGATATTTTGAACTTCAAATCAAACACTGCTAGCTACACCACCCACTAGCAAGAGTCATCAAAACTAGAGAAAAATAGGATTTTGGTGCTAAACAGGATACCTGCTATTAGACATGCATCCCGACAGATATTAAAACAGTTCATGCAGGGACACAGAATAAGTTGGGTTTTTTTAATCGTACAATAGTATAAGACCTGCCCACTTTAAAATGTTGGATAAAAGCGATAAAACATACATCATTTAGTCACATTTATCACATAAAAAGTATTCATTTGAACTTTAGTAGACATTACTGTGTTACTGTTACAGTAGATGTATTTCCTGGCTAGAGCAAGAGGCTGTTTTTTCAGGGCATTTAAGGCCTTATTCTAGCAGTCTCTCAGTGTAGTTGATATTTATTGTGACCCTGTATGTGTTTTCTGTTTATTCTCTCCAGGTGGCCTCAGAGTCCGGGCACTGTCTAATCAAGCGTGAACATGAGAAATGCATGGAGAATATCATGACACACGACCCCAACGATGACCTTGAATTAGGTAAGTGAGGATGTGTCTGAAGGTTTCAATGTGTGTGTCTGTTCTTGCATTCTTCTGTTTGCATAATGAGCCGTGAAGACACTTACATCTCATTAAACACAGATATGCTGAGGAAAGTCATGCTTCTCCTAAAAATGTAACTTTCCGGGAACAAAAAAAAACAGGCTTTGTTTTTTTATACTCAATGATCTGGTTTTCTGTTTATCCAAACATTTTTAGAAAGCTCAGAGGAATGAAACACGCGTGCTGTTTTCTGTCATGTTCGAATTACAAATACATCACATTGACACGCTGCTGAACAGGACAGGCAACCATCCGGTGATATATGATTCACAAACCAAATGTCTGCCTGTAATGTCACGCTGAGCTGCTTTCACATATCTCACGTCCCTTTTCCCAAAAACACAGGATGTGTGATTCCTGGAAGCAATTATTTTCTTGGCCATGGATTGTGGTTTTCATTAGCAACGAGCTGCAGGCCTCCCGCTGCTCAAAAGTTGCCCAACAGACTGCATCTCCCAGACTGCACCGTGACTCACGGCTTCAATGACAACCACGGGGGCTCTGGAAATAAACATGAAGCATGAAAGATTTGAAGTGAAAGATAACAAGTTAGAATAAGACGGAAGCTGTTGGTTCATCAATAGATCTTAAAGGTCAGCCTGCAAGCTTCCTGTGTGCTGCTCTTTCAATTATATCTCTTATTTGTAAATCTCTCCTAGAGTTGTTCATACCTAAGGAAGGTGACATCACAGGTTTCATTTATAAATGTTTTCAGTTCATCCCTACATTTATGGTTACCATGAAGCAATCTATTTCCTTGTTCTAACGCAATTACTGAAACTTATTTTTGTATTGAGCTATCGCCTCTCAGAGCCTATATGCCTGCCTCGTCACTTTTACTTACATGCGTTTCCTCTCGTCCCTTTAAAAGGAACCGTTCTGTGTTTCTGCTGACAGCAAATCGTTGGTGAGGAAATAAAAACGCCTGGTTTGCAGAAATCTGACTTGCTGCTTGAGAAAATGTAAAATAGGGAAAAATGAGAACAGGGAAGGAATAAATAAGAGAAAGAAAAAGGAGATAAGTGGTGCGTTTTTTAGCCTTCTAGACGATTTATTTTTCATAAAAGAAAAAACCCTTCGAAAAGCATATTTAATGATTTATGTGTTACTTTCTCTGTAATTGAGGTACTCAATAATCTACACACTGTGCGAAATTGATAAATAATGATTTGTGTCTGTCTGAGAATTTAGAAGAAGTGCAAATAGAATAGTGGATTTTAAAGCAAAGTAAAGCTTCTTCAGTCAACAGTTTCTCAAAAGCTAAATGAGGATGAATATTGGATTTTGACACCGAAACATAACTGTCACAATACAGAACATTGCACTTAAAAAAACGTACAACAAAATTGAGAGTAGTTGCAGCTCTACTGACATTTAGCAGCTTGTTTTGTCAGCACTGGCAAAACATTTTCTGGCAGAGTTATATTTCAAGAATATTCCTCCATTCAAATCATACGAGTGCAATACATCGCCCTTAGAAAATGACTGACTTTTACTGACTCATACAGTAAAAGTCCGTAAAGGAAAACCCCTAAAAGTCAGTCGGTTTTTGTGTGCATTTAAATGGTCCGCAAAGGCTAAAGTTCCCCCCAGAGGGAGTTACTCTCCCACCTTTGTGTACTTCTGTCACATAGTGACATCACTACTTAACACATGCGCTTCTATTGGATAGCGCTCCAACACATTGTAGTGATAGACTAAGGGGCGGGACATCTCTAAACAGTTGACCAACCACAACAGAGCCGGCCAGTTAACCAATCAGAGCAGACTGGGCTCTGGTTTCAGACAGAGGGTGAAAAGAGGTGCTGCAGCACAGGCAGAATGAGACAAATAAAGACCTTTTTGAACATTAAAGCATTTAAACATGTCACAGGAGAAGCACAAAATACAAATATGGACCTGAAAATGAGAATACAAACTCAAGTCATTGAGTCAATTACTTTAGTTTTCTTTTTGCCATTTATAAGATTCTCACAAAGCAAATGTATCGCATCGACAGACATATTCAGCTTAAGCTCCATGACATGTTTTTCCTCTTAGACCAGTATTAAAGATTCATAAAAAATAATTATAAATGAATGGGGAGAAATAAGCCCTGATCTGTATTCTGCTACTGTTGCAGCTCATGACTCAGAATATAAAAACAAATCTTGCTCAGTCGGCTAATAAGATCAGCTTTAATGAGAAAAAAAATGTGTGTGTGTGTGTTCACATACTCAACACTATGCATGTGCAGTCTGTGTGAGGGTACCGTGCTGTAGCAGCCCAGTGAAGATTCAGCATACTATGGGATATTGTGTGAGATAGCAAGTGATGCAGACAGAGTGCTTTATTAAGCCGGTTACGTCTGTGGCTCATTTGGCTCCGATTTGCCCTTTAAAAGGTAATTGGCTTCGTGTCCAGCTCACCAGACAGAACCTGAACAGATTACGGAGCCAAGCAGCATATAGAGAAAGGTCTGCAAAACACACACATACACACACACACACACACACACACACACACACACACACACACACACACACACACACACACACACACACACACACACACACACACACACACACACACACACACACACACACACACACACATGCATGTCCAGGAACACATGCATGAACACACAGATGCAGCAATGAACAAAAACACCCTCAAAATGCATGAGTGTGAAAGCGCATCAAATCAGATTTGGACCTGCCTCTGCAGCACTATAAAACCAGCCGCGCATAAACAATGTGGTAAACCTGCAGAAACGGAGAAAGAGAAAGGGGAAGGATGGGGAGGCTGGAGATAAAGAGCATCATCGAAGCAGAATAGAAGAAAGATAGATCACAGCTGTGAAAGGGCAGTAGGCCTACTGAAGGGATAATATTTTAGCATTGATCATCAATTGAGTGGAGTCTTTATCTCAGTTTGGACAAACAAAATATAGAATGTCAGATGTATTGCTGTGATCTGCGATGCATCTGTACATACGAGTACTTTAGATGATATACCTTTAGTTGCCAGTTTATTCTATCTGTGTTATAATCTAAAATTCAGCTCAAATGAGCCAATATCTTCGCAAAGCTAATTCCTGTTGACTTTTGGTTCCACCGCTTGCATTAACACTCACTCCTCTCCCTGCATTACATCTCTTACATTGCTCTGCCATTTAACCTCGCCATGATTATCAACATCGTTTACTAAATGTTTTGCCGCCCTTTGAGTGCTCGAGGTGGTATTCTGCAGGAAGCTGTGTTGAAGTTTAATTAGCAATGACGAGGTGAAATAGTCTGTTAAAAACAGCATCTCCAGTAATACGGGAGAGGGAGCTGATCATAGTTGTAGTGTATAACAAGTGTGTGTTTGTGTGTGAAGCACAGGAATGTATTCTAATGTTTCAGTCGATGTGTTCGTCTATGAATCCGGTTCAATCAACAACAGAAGATGAAGCTAAAACTATATGTTCAGTTTTATTTCTTTTTTAGGAGAGACTTCATTTTTTGAGTCATTTAAAGGTGGGGTAAGTTTGAGAAACCGGCTCGAGATACACTTGTTGTTATATTCCATGGAATGCTCTTAACATCCCGATAGCAATGAATATCTCAAGTGCTTTGACAAAATATCCATAAAAAAATATCATCTCTGGAAGCCGTGGCGCTGTAAAAAGCACGACCAATCATCTGAGCCGGCCCGGCTAAAATAACTGGATGGCCTACCTGCCTGTCAGCCTTCCATCTGTGCACAAACTTATCTCGTGCCCTCATTGGTCATGTGCGTGTTCGTGTGTGTTGGAGGAGGGGCTCTGTAAGGAAGTAGCAGATTTCTTCCGGCTGTGTATTTTCTAATTCTAGCGCACTCGAGCTGGTTTCTCCAAGGTTACCTACCCCACCTTTAAAAGATAGCTGTTGGAGCCCATCATGACGTCATTTAAATACAAAAATAATGTGACAAGAAATATCATCTGAATCTGCAATTATAACTCAATTAGTTTTTCCTACGTGGGTTTTGTTTCTCAGGCTACACCACAGGCAGTCATATCTTATTAAATCAAGAGAGGTATATGATATTAAAGCTGCCTCCATGTTAGCAATAGTCCTGTCCATGTGGGTGTTGTGAAAATGCTCCATATCTCTGGAAATGAAATCCCTATCAGCCCCCGTTTCAATTATCTTTCATTCCAATTAATTCAGATCATAGTAAGTGTCAGTATCATTTCATCAGTTTTATAACAGCAGAATGATGCTGACAGTGTGTGTGTTTTTTTTCCTTGTTTCCACAGTGTGTCCATGGATTTGGGACAACCTGACGTGCTGGCAGTCGGCCAACGTGGGCGAGGTCATCGTGGTCAACTGTCCGGAGCTCTTCCACGACTTCATGGACCCCGAAGAGGGTGAGAACAAGAGGGAGATCAGATGTGTTTCTTAGTTTGAGCTCATTTGTATTTTAAAACGATTCCTCTTTACTTTAATCCAGCCTGAGGCATGTGTGTTTTTATTTTTCAGAGATGGCGCGTATCAGTCGTAACTGCACCGAGGACGGCTGGTCTGAAATTTACCCTCACTATGTGGAAGTCTGCTATTTCTTTGAAAACGCCACTAAACCCGTACGACCTTGTTCACCTCATCTGAATTATGTTTGACTTTATCATGAGCACACATGACTAACCTCCTGTCTCTAACATCAGGACCTGTACTACGCCTCGGTGAAGGCCCTGTACACGGTCGGATACAGCACCTCGCTGGTGTCTCTGACCACAGCCATGGTCATCCTCTGCCGATTCAGGTGAGCGGCACAACGTCAGATTCCTCAAAAGTAGTACAATACATGATAAAACAGATGCATTTTGTTTCTTTAACCATTTAAATCATATAAAAACTCAATTAAAATAAGCTCTAATGGAAAAACGGTACAATGACATAAGGAGTAAAACCAATTCACAAAATAAATGCTTTTTGGTTTACATTTTTGTCAGTGCTCATGTATCAAAGAGAAATTGTGATTAAATGCTTAAAAACGTAATATATTAAATATCTTTCAGTTTTGCAGTTTTTGCACAAAGACATTTTACACCATCACTTATAGCATTATAATATTTACATTTATTTACACAGTATATTTATTTTTGTCTCACTTCTAAACCAAGAAATTAAGAAGGGAAACAATCTAAAGACAAACGATTCAATGATAAAATATAATTGCAGCCTTTCTGTCTATACATCCAGATGTTTGCTGACTGTTGAAAGTCTTTGGATATACTACTCCAATATCCGATGCAATTCCTCTACTAAGCTATTGTTGTTTACACATGAACAATTAAACATGATTTATGACGGTGTATGATGTAGCTCAAGCAGATTGACTTAATTACTACTGGATGTAGAGTGAACATTGAGCAAAAGCAGCCACACAAAATAAACATAAACATTAAATATGAAAAAAACAGATGATGCAATAATGACTTTGCTAAGATGATGAAGAGTGAAAACAAGAACATAATTGATAAATGTTCTGTCTCTGGTCTTCAGGAAGCTCCACTGCACCAGGAACTTCATTCACATGAACCTCTTTATGTCCTTCATCCTGAGAGCCATCTCAGTCTTCATCAAAGACGGCGTGCTGTACGCTCAGGACGACAGCGACCACTGCTTCGTTCAGACAGTCAGTAACACTTCTTATACTGTGTGGTCATCAAGACGGCCAAATACACTGACCAATTACTCTCCAACAGGAAGGAAAACAAACATGAAGGCTTGTTTGGCTATTAATGAAAATCAATAGTCTGATGATTAGTTCATTAATTTCAATTTGGAGCAGATCATTACGAAATGAGGGCTTTATAATTCTTAATGATCTCCGCTTATGTTTGGAGTTTGTTTTGGCTTAAGCAAAGTGTTTTCAAGATGTTTGGGTAATCTGTTCCAGAGAACCTAATTAAAGGATTTCATCAAAGTGCAGCCACTCATTTTATAAAGGAAAGCAAGCGTGTAGAATATGATCAGGGCCTGTTTTTCTGTTTGAGATATTACACGGGGGATTTGTAGACAGAGGGCTTGAAACACCTCTCCTTCAGTCTTTCCTTTTTGATACGCACCTTTGAAGAAACTTCAATCACATGCAAATGTTTTACAAAAAAGCAAACACACTATTAGATGACTAATACTCCCTGATTACAAATGCAGAACAAACTCTTAGCCTTTGTCTGGTAACCACACACGTGTTGTTAAGCATGATAAATAAACCTAATTAGGTACGCTAATGGCTTCAGCAAGGCCAGTGGAAATCTTCTACTCCACGCTCATTAACATATCAATGGTTACTTTGCCCTCTTTTTCAACCGTCACTATGGCGATCACAGGTCAGCATCGTGGCACCGCGCTGTAATTGGTTGACCCCATTCAGAATATGGACCCCCTCATTAACATGGTGTCATTAGATTACAGGGCACCTGACATGTAGAGTGGATCTCCACTGTGACAACATGTTCAGTCCACACACAGTTTCTAGACGCTCCATTTGATGGTAATTGCATTGTTGAGTGTGTAGCAACCCCCACCCTATAGTGACAACGATCTCTGTGTACATCGGGATTTACAAGAAATAAAGACGTTTGTCACTCTGACATTTATTGTCTTAAGCTCTGAAAGGAAAGGCTGATCATTAAACATGGATTTAACGTTTGAATCTGCAACAAGATGTTTTTTAACAACCACCTACTTGTCAGGAAATTATTCAAAGTACCTCAAATGGTGAAGGTCTAACAAATGGTTCATATTCAGATTACTTTATTGTTCATTTGCATATGAGACAGCACACAATAGACAACATTTATCAATCTTATAAGTCACCAAATATAACGAGTAGGTTGTTCTTCCACTGCCATGTAAGTTAATCAAACCAAAACAGAAGTGCATGATACTCAGCAGGATTTAACAATACATGTACATAGAAATAATACATAGGGGGCATTTGCAAGGGACCTATTTGAATTCTCTTATTGAGAATAGTTAGAGCAGATGGAATAAAGGATTTCCTGTAATCGTTGTTCAAGGCCATTGGGATTTTCATTCGGCACTTTGATGGCAGCAGCAGAGACTTGGGTCGTTGTATATCTGGATTTCCTTTTTGGTTGTGGATTGAAATAGCTGTTGGCACATTGAATATTTTATATAGCTATTTATTATATTGTTGCACTAACGCACCTCACCTTGTGTTTTTTCCCGTGCAGGTGGCGTGTAAAGCAGTGATGATTTTCTTCCATTACTGTGTCATGTCCAACTATTTCTGGCTGTTCATCGAGGGGCTGTATCTCTTCACTCTGCTGGTGGAGACTTTCTTCCCTGAGAGGCGCTACTTCTACTGGTACACCATCGTAGGCTGGGGTGAGTGTAGATATTATTATTTATGGTGGAAAGCAGCAATTCCTCTCTCTGTTCTGTAAATTCAACTATTTATGCAACCATTTTTAACCTGTAAAAGAAAATGTGCTTTGTTTGAATACATTTGAATTACATTATTCTCATGTGTTATGTTTAGGGTAATAACTCCGTGACAATACCATATCGTTCTTTTTATTTAACAAGACACATTCTGGTTTCTCATCATATCGTTCTTTTTATTTAATAACACACATTTTAGTTTCTCATCGTCATTACCATTGGTCTTGTTAAAATGAGATTAAACAGCTGAAAGAGCCCAAACCTCTGAGATATGGGCCAACCTGGAGTCTAAAAAACACATTTTAGCATTCTTCCTCTGCTTTTGTTATAAAGAAGACTTGTAGTTGTTATCTTTCATCTGGTTTTAGCATAAATGCAGTAGAATGATATGAAACATAATAATTTGTTGTAAAATGTATGTTTTATGTAAGATGTATTGCCTTTCTCTAATGTATGATTGTTTTACAGGAACTCCCACCATCTGCGTCACTATATGGGCGTTTTTGAGGCTCCACTTTCATGACACTGGGTAAATCTCCTCTGGCAATATTAGATATACTGTCATTGGCTATCTTCATAAGGCACTACACAATATTATCAGAATCAGAGCAAAGACGCAGATGCCTTCGGGTTGCTGAGACCCAAAAATATCGATTTGTTTAAATATAATTCCTTCCAAATGTATTTATTCTTAACCTTTGGAAAATTATGAATAAGGAGGAATATTGGTATGGATAGGGTAATACCTCCCTTAATTCTTAACACCAGATCCTTTATTTATGTTGACATTTCTTTGTTTAAATCAATGAATAAATGCAATCTAAGAAACCAATGTCTTGCGATGCATATTCAACATTTTAGAGGCTTCCAGTCGCTGTTTGACAAGCTTTTAGTAGCTCATACATTCTTTATAATTTCTTGTGCACAGAATGATACAATATGACATTAGAACATTATTTTATATGATTTTCTAAGTTGAAAACACAGTTTTATGCCTGCTTCCATTGTAAGCCTTCCTCTAGCCTCTCACCCTCCCCTTCAAGCCTCCTGATTCTGCAAATGGCCACTTCATGCTTGACGTATTGTATGATGCTTATTATTTCCAAGTATTGAGAGAAAATGTTCAGTGATTTTTGAAACACACTGTTCTCCTCCTCCAGATGCTGGGATACGAATGAGAACACTGCCCTCTGGTGGGTGATCAAAGGACCTGTAGTGGCCTCCATTATGGTGAGTTGGACAATTCACATTAAAGGTAGGGTAGGTAAGAATGGAGAAACCAGCTCGAGTGCGCTAGAATTTGAAAGTACACAACCGGAAAAAATCTGCCCCTTCCTTCAGACTTCCTTACAGAGCCCCTCCTCCAACACACACGAACGCGCACATGACCAATGAGGGCACGAGATAAGTTTGTGCACGAGATGGAAGGCTGACAGGCAGGTAGGCCATCCAGTTATTTTAGCCGGGCCGGCTTAAAATAAATGGTCGTGCTTTTTACAGTACTACGGCTTCCACAGATGAATTTTATGTATTTATTGTCAAAGCATTTAATGTATTCATTGCTATCGGGATGTTAAGAGAATTCCATGGAATATAACAAAAAGTGTTTCTGAAGTGAATTACCTACCCCACCTTTAAGAGACAATTCACATTAGATAACATGAACACTTGAGTCCATCATGTAAATGTGCCAGATTTAACCAAAGAAGCTTATTTTCATCTGTAGTCCCTGGCAGGTTGATGACATTAAGAGAACATACATGAGCACATAAGCACAGTAAAAAATACATGAGCACAATGGCAGCACATATATGCCCAGTTAAAAACCGTTTTACATGCAACGGACACAAAAGCACATACATGAGCAAAGATAAAAGCTATCATGCACAGACAGTATGACATTTCTTATCTATTATTTTTAGAAATGCTCGCAATCATTGCTATTCTAACTGGGACATAATGTATAAAAACTCCTGCCAGATTTATGGTATTTGTGTTATTTGTTTTCTCAGATAAACTTTGTCCTCTTCGTTGGAATAATCATCATCCTGGTGCAGAAGCTGCAGTCCCCGGACATCGGAGGGAACGAATCGAGCATTTACCTGTAAGTAACCAGCAACTTCAGAAACTCCAGTGTTGTATGTTGAAGGAAAAAACAGTTTTATATGAAGTGAAGTGATATGATTTTAAGATCAGTGTACTGTATGCTTATAATTAGCTTATAAACTACTCTAAAGCCTAAATAAACATGATTACCCTTAGTTCCAAAGATGAGCTACTCAATATTTAATTTCTTAAATGTGTCAATGTATCACAAGATAATTTTAGAGTCTGCAATGGTAAGGAAGACATTACTGTCATGACCTCACGCTTCTACGACACAAAACTCAGTCTTTTGTTATTGTTTTGATTGAGAGACAGCTAGAAGCATTTACTCATAATTGGGTACATTTCGGCCTAAAATACCTGTAGATCAGTGGGCATTGTCCCTTTAAACGCACTATCTATTACTGATACTTTAACACAGGAGCCATGCATTTTTAAATGGTTTCTTTTGTAGCCATACTGTAACATTCAGATGCTTATCTTTAAACCTCTGATGTGTCCTCTCAGATACTTTAAATACATATGTATGAGTAGTACCTGTTGTCAGGAAGCTGAAGCCTCATTATGGAGTTGTACTGTAGCCAGACATCCCTCCTCCCACAGGACGCCGTCTTCTGAGGCTCTGCAGATAATGTCATTCTCATCTGTTGCTCAGACCTGTGCGTGCGTGACCAAGTGTGAATACTTGTGTGTGTGTGTGTGTGTGTGTGTGTGTGTGTGTGTGTGTGTGTGTGTGTGTGTGTGTGTGTGTGTGTGTGTGTGTTGTGTGAGGCTTTGTGTTTGTGTCCCTAAAGACACTGTCTTTGTTGTTTTGTTGTGCTGTCTTTGTGCTGTGTAGCAGCTGTGCTCAGAAATGCTTCAGTGAGCCCACACAGGCTGTTCAGCATTCGTGCAGGATGTCAGAGTTATCCACCATCACACTGTAAGTGTGTCTGTGTGTGTGTGGTATGTGTTTATGTGTGTGTTTGTTCGTCCACACGTGATTGTTTATGTGTCTTGTGTCAACTGCATGTGTATATATGTGACTTTGTGTGTTATGCCAGAGGTTCTTGCTATTCGTTCACTTTTAATTTGTTTGTATGACATGTGCTGTATAATAAATGTGTTATGGTTAATTTCAATGAATACATTTGAGTCCGACCACGGATAAGCGGGAGAAGATGGATGGATGGACATTTGAGTTATTACAATTAATTCCCTATTCCTAATTCATTATTATTATTATATTTGTTTGTAATACTATAATGTCCTCACTAAAACTCAATCCACTCTTCAGATAGATACAGAGGAAAACACACACTCACAGAATGTTGTTAATCCAGCAGATAAATGAAAACATGTAGTTTTGTTTGTTTGTTTGTTTGTAGCCTTTATTTAACCAGGTGAAGCCCCTTGAGATCAAAAGATCTCTTTTTCAAGGGTGACCTGCAGGACATTAGTTACACATGTAACATAAAAACAACAGAACAACAATAAGGATGACATACAACATAATGTACTGGGTACAGTTTACAAACTCTATTTACAGAGACAGGTACCATGAGTATCAAACAGCATGTCACCCAGCTGAGTTTTAATATGATGCAGGGGAACCAAAGTGCTCAGTTTTAAACATGTTTGCAGACTGTTCCAATTTAGTGGAGCTGCACAACTAAAAGCTTTCTTCCCTAAGACAGTCCTAGCACTTGGCACATTTAATAAAACAACATCATGAGATCTCAGGCAATACGTACTTTCAATTCGTCGAGAGATCAGAGAGCAGATATAAAAAGGTAGTTTACCCAACATGGCTTTATAGATGAACATGTACCAATGACTGAGCCTCCGTACAGTTAGTGAAGGCAGACCTGCCTTGGCATACAGGGTACAGTGATGAGTAAGTGCTTTATAGTTAGTAACAAATCTCAGGGCACTGTGATAGGCGGCATCTAACTTTTCCAGGCAATGGGCAGGTGCATTCATATAGATAAAATCACCATAGTCCAGCACAGGTAAAAAGGTCACAGTGACTAGCCTTTTCCTGGCTTCAAAAGAGAAACAGGACTTGTTTCTGAAAAAGAAACCTAGTCTAACCCTCAGCTTTTTAAGCAGGTTATTGACATGAAGTTTAAAAGTAAGACAATCATCAAGCCAGATACCTAGGTATTTATAACTGGTAACCACTTCAAGTACTTGTCCTTGCATAGTAACAATATCCAAAACAGGCTCTGGTGTCTTTTGTCCAGATGGTTAGTTGTTCTCCTTTAGCTGACTTGACTGCACTGTAAAACCACTGTATGTTTCTGTGTTTTCCATTCGTTGTGTGTTTGTCAGTCACTATGTTTCACTGCATGATGTGCACCAGATGATATAAGGACACAGCAATACTTGTTATGACTGCAGGAATAGATTGTAAATGTCAACAGTTTTGTATTTGAGAGTGGGTAAGTACACCAAATCCTACCTCATGTTTAATTGATAGGGATACAGCTTGTGTTTTTCTGTATTCTCTGATTGTCAACAAATCCCATGAAAGACTCAAATCAACCGAGTACAACCATTACTCAATACTTTCTCAGTTCCCTAACAAATCCCTTGTGTAACCGCACTTACTGGAAATGTAGATCTTAAGTAAAAAAGGGACATTTTAAAAACAGTTATCATCTTCTAAAAAAGCTTTGCACCGTCAACAAACAGCAATAAATCATTTAAGCCCCTGTCACACTGTCCCGAAATTGACACCCGATGGACACACGAATATGGAATTGTGAATTTCGCACGAAGATGGCCCCGAACCACACACGAAGGCAACATTTACATTACATTTAAGACATACAACTGCAATGAATGTACCAAAAACAATTATGTTACAGTACTATGATACTGTACTGATATCTTCAGACTTTGTTCTTTACTTTATCCGTCTTTATATGTAGAAAATATTACGTTTTCTCCGTAATGTTGTTTCCTTAGCAACAACAACTTCCTGTCAACTCTCCTTCAAAATAATATATTATATCCTTTTTAGTTTCACAGAACACAAATTGGGTTATTTACATAATATATTTACATGATTTTGTTGTGCAATAAAACAACCCGATGGACACACGATAAAGGAAATGTTCAAATTCGGCTGTGATCGTAGCAACATCGGGCCATTCGTGAGGGCATCTTAAGCCATGATCGCTGGTGGAGTTTCTCAGGCTCCAGCAGCAACTTCGTGAGCGGTGGCAAAATCTTTGGCATGGCAAAAAATTGCCGAAGGACCTTGCGAAGGTTCATTTTCGTGTTGAATTCGTGTGTAAATGTTGCCCTTCGTAAGGCCATCGTGAGGGCATCTTGTTATCATCGGTGCCATCGGGCATTCGCCCAGATCAGAGTGAGGGTGAATGCACCGATGATAACACGAAGATGACACGATTTGACAAGATGCCCTCACGAGTGCCTTACGAAGTTGCCGCTCACGAAGTTGCTGCCGGAGCCTGAGAAACTCCACCGGCGGTCATACGATGGCTTAGATGCCCTCACGAATGGCCCGATGTTGCTACGATCACAGCCGAATTTGAACATTTCCTTTATCGTGTGTCCATCGGGTGTCAATTTCGGGACAGTGTGACAGGGGCTTTAGCTTAAAGGAGCGTTTGTGTCACAGAGATGGTGTGTGCAGTATTTATTTAAAAAATCAAAACAGTGACCCCTAATTCATAGTGTACCAATTATCAAGTAATATCAGCCTATGTTACACTGCTTTAAAACATCAGCACCTTGTTTTCCGACAACAGTGGAGGTCTGTTGCGAAGCAGAATAGAAAATATGTCTTTGGCCACACGCAATACTTGTTGGGTTCAATCATTTTGTGTTTTTGGTCTTTTGATGGGACTTGTTGACACCTTATTGTTCATTATCAACACAGAAATAATCGTGTGACTGATTCTGCAGTCATGATTCATTTGAAACAAGATTGATACTACATGGATCCTCCAGTATTCAGAGGATGTGTGTCATCACATTGCATCAGGGGCTCTGCTCTCTTACATCACATCCTGCTGACCAACATCAATCACACATGACTTTGATTTGTGCTTGACCTTCTGCTCAATCTTATTAAACCTGTGTGTGTGTGTGTGTGTGTGTGTGTGTGTGTGTGTGTGTGTGTGTGTGTGTGTGTGTGTGTGTGTGTGTGTGTGTGTGTGTGTGTGTGTGTGTGTGTGTGTGTGTGTGTGTGGGTGTGTGTGTGTGTGTGTGTGTGTGTGTGTGTGTGTGTGTGTGTGTGTGTGTGTGTGTGTGTGTGTGTGTGTGTAGGCGTCTGGCACGCTCCACCCTCCTGCTCATCCCCCTGTTTGGTATTCACTACACTGTGTTCGCCTTCTCACCTGAGGATGTCAGCAAGAGGGAGAGACTGGTCTTTGAACTGGGACTGGGATCCTTCCAGGTACAACAGGAACACCACATGATGAATGAGAGAACATAATGTTTACATCATTAAAAGAGGCTCTTTAGAAGAGAGATAGTGATATTCAAACACTGCAATGAGCTTAAAGTTGAAGACAGCATGCATGCAGCCTTTGTGGTTCATAGATGTGAGAAGAAGATGATGCCATCAAGAGTTCAAACAAAGGTACTGTAAAAATTCATTAGTATTGCATTAAGATTCACAATTATAGAATAGCTTTCAAATAAGGGAGACAGTGTCTTGTCCCAGGAAGAAACAAAGAACATACATTAAGTAACATCTTTTTGTCTTATTAGAAAAATAATTGAATTTCTTGCTGTTGGACTGATGGTTAGACACAACAGACAAAACAGGCAGAACCTTTTCATACATTTTATAGGCACAATTCATTTATGAAATAATCAGAAGATTCATCAATAAAAGTCTTAATCTTAAAGTTACAGCGACAAAAAGCGGTTGTGTACGTTTAGTTCTATTTTAGGCACTCATGGCGTTAAACATACCATCCATCTAAACTTCAGGTCTTTGAGCACCTGTAAAAGCGCTAACAAATTAAATCTATTATTATTATTATTATTATTAAGCATTAAAACGCTTCCAAAAGACACTTCTAAAAAATAATACATACATTTACCAGCGTGAGCCAAGCCTCTATATTTCTGCCAATTGTTATAGATAAAGTATTGGGTCTCAAACCTTTAGCAACTATAAACAATGTCAAATATATGTTTAGAGGGAAATACAATCGTTTTCCTAAACAGAAGCTCCTATTCTGTTATAGACAATGATAAAGAGGTAAACATGAAGTTCGGTTTACTGATGATCCATTACAATCCCTGGAGGCTGACGACAGAAAGCAGACACTTCTTCAGAGCTGTCAGCACACACTGTCCTTTGCCTTTGGGTTAACTTTTCTCTTATGTTTTGTCTCTTTTCTCCTCAGGGCTTTGTTGTAGCGGTCCTCTATTGTTTCCTTAACGGAGAGGTAAGCCCCTGCATGAGTCGTCCCTGACATCTTGTCTTTCTGACACCTATTGATACCTGAAATGCTCTAAATGCTATTGTTGATGCATATGAGCATATTTTCGGATAAAACCATATCACTTGACTTACTGTGAACAACATTTAGAATGTATAAACAATTAATTGCGCTCAATGTGTAATGTCCTATAGGTCATTTTAAGTGGTCATTTAGGTTTAGGTATCACTAACAATGCATTAACAGGTGTGTGTGTGTGTGTGTGTGTGTGTGTGTGTGTGTGTGTGTGTGTGTGTGTGTGTGTGTGTGTGTGTGTGTGTGTGTGTGTGTGTGTCTGGGAGTGCGTGTCTGGGTGTGCGTGTGTGTCTGGGTGTGCGTGTGTGTGTTTGAATTGTATAGTCATATATGAACACAAATTAATTGTTAGTTTTTTGCCAAATGAGTATACAAATGAAATGCTGTAAGCCCTTAATTACTGATAATGACACCTGCTCTCAGTTGTATTGAATTAAATAAACAAACAAAAAAACATATAACAAACTTTAAAAAGTGTGTGTTTTCCACAACTTTTAATGTAAAAAGATGATATTATGTTATTCCAGCCACTAGATTAAAGTTTAGCTAGATGATATGGTCAGTCCTCCTTCACTTATTGTTAACAAAGTCGCTCCACAAACACAACTTAAGTGTGCTGTACCTTTCGGTTGGAGCTGGTGCAGCTTAAAGTACATTAAAAAATGACCTTGTGAAGTTTCTCCCTGAAGGTGCAGTCGGAGATCAAGAGGAAATGGCGCAGCTGGACGGTGAACCGGTACTTTGCTGTGGACCTGAAGCAGCAAAGGCACCCTTCGTTGGCCAGCAGTGGGGTGAACGGCGGGACTCAGCTGTCCATCCTCAGCAAGAGCAGCTCCCAGATCCGCATGTCCTCCCCGCTGGCGGAGAACGCCAACATCAGCCTCCCGACCTGAGCGTCTGATGGGCCGGAGTCGACGTCAAGGTGCCGTCCCACTCACATCCTGACCAACCAGAGCAGACCAAAGCGGCCCCTTAGACCTCTCACATTTTGTAGTTTGGCCTTTCGAAAATGAGGTATTTCTGAAAGTATTTACTGGAGATTCATTAGAGGAGCATAGCTGACTATCATTTCATTTGACTATAAAATATTATTGAACTATTTGAATACTTTAGTAGACTCTGAAAACGTATTAATGATGCACTTATTTTAAGTGTTAAATTCCACTCAGAGATATTGGAAATCCTGGAATTTTAGCCCCTGTTCTTGATTTATTTATAGATAATATTAATGTAGAGTTGGTGCCAAAAAGCAGTCATAGCTATTGAGAAAAACTATAGTTTAATTATGAAATGAAGGGGTCATATTTGGCTGTTTTAAAGTACAGTGCATCAAACAGGTTGCCGGATCGATCTCGTAAATGTCCAAAATGAAATACCAACCAAACGTTCGCCTTGCTTGTAAAAAATGCTCATTGTTTAAATGTTTCATCATAAATGTATAACATTTTCTACAATCAGCCATAAGTACAGAGTATGTCAAAAGATATTTTAGGAAGGGAAAGAAAGAACTCATGGACTTTGTAAATAGTTACTTTTAGTGTCGAGATCAGAGATTTCTTTTTTTTCTTTTTTCGCATTGCGCAGTATTGTAATGACCTTTTCAAACAAAAGGAACTGGAGCCCAAATCTGTAGACTTCATCACATATCCTGATGACCCAGAAGACCCTGCCTACTATACTCTGAACTATTTGTTTGTAATAAATAAAAACACAGACAGTATTTATAGAAGCACACACGTGCCAAAATGAATGATAACTGTAGAGCAGTAGATCCCAACCTGAGGTTTTACAGTATAAGATTAATATGAGCTGTTGTATCAGATACAAGTAAGAAAATAAGTTATTTTGCTATTTAACTATGTTTATTTATAATTGGTCTCTTTTTCTGCTAAAAAATTACATACTTCAAGTCTTATCTTCAAGCTTCTTATTACACAATCTGAGCAGGTAAAATCCAGCTTTGTTTGAAGTGCTCACAACTTCTGACGAGGTGTTTTATTTTAAAGGTTACAAGACAAAAAGAGCTGGTAACCACTGCTGTGGAGGATGCACAGGACGAAAGGGAATAACATGGTTTTAAACTTTAGAATCTTCACTCTAAACTGATTTATCCTCACAGCTAGTGCTAGTAGTTTGCTTCAGTTCATTTAAGTCACAGACTTGTTCTGGTCTTGCAGACTGTGAACATAAACAGTGCCATGTAATGGATGGTTTCACATAAAGGTCCTCACAGTGCCATGCATTTATACATGCAGCATTTTATTATTATAGGCATCAAGAGTCATCATGCTCTGGACTCTATATCCTCATTTTTCTCTAAGCTCCAACCCATCGTGCCATAATAAATTGCTCTTTATTTAAAAAATATTTTTGAATGAATCATCTCCTAAACTCATATTCCAAAGTGCCTAGTCACAAATAGCTATCAATTTTAGTTTCATCACAATAAACAAAAGAAACGTATTCCCTGCAAAGAATGTACAGAAGGTGTGTTTCTATTGTGTGCTATAAAAAAAGCTAGCTTATTTCTTGGTGAAATGCTTCAAGCGAAAAGAGTCCTGTTGTGTATTTATTTTTTTGTGTTTGAGACTTGCACTGATGCTTTATTTAGCCTCTTGGTTACAACCATCATCCGTTCAATATAAGTCCGTTTCAGTTCAGCACCACATCAGATGCACAAACAGATTGAAAAAACACTTCATGTTGTAACAGTCGAAACAAAAGGCTTTAATGTGACAGCTCCTGACAATCGCCTGATTGTTACCCATTTTCCTCTTCCTGTTTTTTTTATTTGTGCAGAAAACTAAGCTGAACAAACAATAACTGTCCGGCTGGGGGAATAATTCAATAAGATAAAATGTGAAACGGTGTGTACAGAAGGATTTATCCACAGTATTTACTCCAGATACTTATTTTTTTGTATTGTCATTTGAGTGGATTAAAAGAATGTAGATTACAATTATGAATATTATCGAGCAGAAAAGGATGTATATTTATTTTCCATAAACCAGTGCCATGTGAAATAACTCAACAGTTTACATGCTCTCTTATGTGTCATTCATGATGTATGATTTCATTTAAATTGATTGAAATTGACTCTCTTGGTCAAAGTGCCGTACATGTAGTGCCATAACCGGTGGGATGTGATGCCTCACTTCTAATTTTAAAAACAAATCAAGAAAAACACTCACGGGATGTTGATGTCCAAAGCCGCAGAGGATATTGTGAGAGATAAAAAACTAAGATTTAAACTCTAAAAAAAGATAAAACGCACACACTCCTGAAGAGATGTATCAGTTTTGTGCATTTGCTTGGCTGCTTTAGGACAAAGCCGTGAGGTGAGATTCTATCAAGGGGAAGGAGAGACAGAGGTGGAAAAAAAATACTTTTTTAATTAGGGAGGTGTTAGAAGGTGGAACAAATGTGACAGATAAAACACAAAGTGTGTACGAGGGTGAGATAAAACCCTCTGCTGCTGCTTACGTGTTCTATCACCAGCCGAGTGTGAATGCACTCAGATGGAAACGACCATGTCTCAAAGCTGTTAGTGTGAAAAAGAAGAGTGGAAAACTCCTCACCTGACCATGCTGTATATTTGTCCACCACAAGGTGATAGCAGAGTGTTAGTATTTTAATTTGATTATTTTTATGTAGAAGTTTGACTGGCATTGATTTGCTTCTTGATCCTTGTACTTGTTGGATTAAATAGAGGTAGTGTGTGGCATTGAATCACTTACTGTAAATGCCACATGTTTATCATTCTTTGCATCTGTGTCTGTATTACACAAATCAACAAACAAGCCTACAAATTAGGTTTTTCTATCTATATCATGTTCCTACTCTCAATCCCCAAATGCCATTTCTTCTCTCTTTACTTTTTTTAAATAAACTGTGAATTATTTGATTTTAAAATCTTCAAAATGTGATGAAATGGTGATAATCTGTGGCACTTTTTGATTTTTATAAAAAGTCAGGCTGTGAAATGTAATTTTGGCTTAATCTGACCACACCTTTCTCACACACACCTCTTCTTACAGTTGGTTTAGCATTCAGTTTCACATTGTGTCACAGAAAAGCAAGTTTAGTCTGACATTGTTGGAACTTTCTTGCACAGTGCTTAGTTGAAACCCATTTTCTCCAGTTTTTCTCTGGTGTAATCTAACTCTTAGCAAGAAAGTGAATATTTAATGTTTTTCCTAATATGTCAAACTATTCGCAGTGTGGCGTTTCTCTGTGTTTAGAAGCCTTTTTTTGGCGCTGTGTGTTTTGAAGCCAGTTTTATCAAGTGTTGAATTTTTGAATGTACCAATGTTGCTCAGCTGCTCTTAGCCTGCTACTGTATCAATTTGCCATGGTGTACAAATGATGTCTTTTCTTGATCATATATACAGTCAACTGTATATGTATATTTTTGGCACACAGGTGGATCTCTTGACGAAGACCTGTAATGTTTGTGACCGTGTTTTTGTATGTTTATGTTTAAGTGTTTTCAGAGTGAATGCGTGAGTTTGTTTGAAAGTTGGAGAGTGTATTCTGTACGCATGTGTATGTAATGACGAGCATTAATAAGGATATAAGTAACTTAAATGTCAAAAAAGAATATGATGTTATACCTGTGACAGTGTGTCATGTGTAACATGCGTTCTGGTGTCCAACATTCATGTCCCAGATTGTGAAATTTGACTGCTAAATAAATCTATCTGTGGTAAATTGTTGTATTTCGTTGATATTGTTGGACATTTTTCACAGCTGTCCTATCCGGTAAAATGGAAAGTGTACTGATTTGGCAGTAGATGCATGCGTACTAGGGTGGTCCTTAAAATTGAAAGTCGGAAAGTCTAAGCTCCAACCCCCAGAATTCATTCTATTAGTCAAGAAAACTCTCCTCCGCGGCTGCTGGTGTGGCAGCCCTGGTCGATGAGGGAGGGGTAAATGTTGTCAGATTGAGGAATAAATTCACCAAAACTGAGGCTAAACTTCAAGGTTGATGAGGGAGGGGTAAATGTTGTTGGAATTTGAATGAAATTCACCAGGAGAGTTTTTCTTGACTATCATAACAAATTCCGGTGGTTGATAATAAATAAATAAATGAATTTGAAAATGTACATGGCCCTAAGGACCACCCTAATGCGTACGCCACTGTTTTTTATTATAGAAAGGAATAATGTTGTTTGAAAATATCTCCAGCTGTATCCAGCTTAATTAAGTTCTTGTTAAAGCAATAATTCTTACTGTAGTTAGAAGCATTTTAAAGACCAATTTGCTTCTTCTCTTTTCTAGTTCTTTCCAAATTAAGGTATATAGTATCTTTCTTAACCCCCAATCCTACTATCAGAAAACCAAGTTTACAATTTGTTGATTTAAAGTGTATAACTAATTAATATAGTCAAAAAGAAACAGTCAATGTACTTCTCAAACCACACGTTTAATTAATTTCTGAGCTTTTCCCTACACAGGCTGACTCTTACTAAACCCACAAGACCAACAATGGAAACACAATGTATTTAATATAAAATAAGTGCAAAATGTTAATATATTGTGTACTGATAATGACCGTCAGGGTGCTTGAGAGAAAAGTACAGTGATTTAATTTTATAATTATTAAACCATATATTGAAAAAAATATAAGAATCTGACTTTTGCTCCACCTACTGTATATTGTACCCAACACAGATTATCTGAACATACATTTCTGTACAGTTTACTTTCACTGTGTCAATAGAAATACTTTTTCTAGTAGTATCATTATGATGCTACTTTACCATGGCAATATTTGGGTATTTCCTGCAGTGTAACAAATGTGACGAAAAATTAAGGTGACCACATCTAGCAAGAGCAATAAAAATGACAAACGAAGAAAAGAAAATAGCTTATAAGTATTGACAAATACTGTGTTTCGAAGATGGCTCACCAAAGCATATAACTATATAACTCCTTCGGATTATATATATTTAAAGACTTCTTACTCGGGTAAGAAGTCTTTAAATACATGACATTCCCAATCTTTGAGTTTTACACACACCCCCACCCCCCCCCAAACACACGCATACAAAAGCAGACACACGGCCTCAAGTACATTTTCACGGGTGCTCAGGATTTTCATGATTGACATTTTTCTCACTAGCAGCAGGCGAGTTTCTGCACCAAAAAATCAATTTGCGATTTGGTCCGTATCGGTACTGCACATACTTTCAGCCTGCACTAAAATAGCATGTAGGCTACAGTGCAGCATAAAAACTGCTAGAGAAGTCAAACTCATTTCACATTATTAAGCCACATTCAAATATTCATTGTTTTCTCACATAATCCCTCAACATGTGCTCCTTTGCTGTACTACTATCTGTAAACACAAACATGTGAAGTCATCCTACAAGTTTCCCGGCCAGCTCTGTCTCTATGGTCTTTCCACATGTCACTGTGTCATCCTTGCAAATCAAGCTCCAGGGTCTCTTTACCCTTTACTATTGTATTGGTTGCAACCCCCAAAAACACTGTGATTAAACTCAGAAAGTGCTTTCATGGTGGTAGCTGCTGCTGACACCAAAGTAATGCATCTCGACCAAACATCTCCTCTATCACTCATGATCATTACGCTCCTCTCACAGGGGTGTTGTTGAATGAATGTCATCAGCAGGGCAAGGACTGCCTCTGATAGTTTTCTTGACATTCTCACAACAACCAGTCTCTCATGGATGGATGGTCTCTTAGAAATCATACTGAAGTGATGTTCCCGCTGGAAGGAGGCCGCCCGAGCCCCCCGCGGGCTCGAACTGAGTTCTGAGTGATACTCCGCTTGCCTGGGGTGAGATGATTTTGATTGTGACACTTTCTCAGCCATCGCCGCAGCTCTGTTTGGACCTGAAGACAAATTCATATGTGCAGAGTTCAGGCAGAAATAGTCATTGTATGCGTACAATATACATTTGGCCCCAGTAGCAGTATCACTGTTAGATAACGTAGTAACACAAACTCAAACAAAGGTATGGATGTAAAACAAATGGTGTCCCGTGAAAAGTGTTTGCAGCACTTGTGTATCAGAAAACCATCACTTTGTTCACTTACCTCTCCATTCATGAAACAGTAAAGCAGTGCCACCACAAAACCCTGCAACGCAGAATAAATAGTCACTGTTTTAAAATGATAACACTACAATGCTAATTACACATTTAACTGAAATCCCATTAGAGAAAATGTCCTATATCATATACGCTACACAATTTAAAACGATGCAAAAAATGATGTCATGAATGCCTAAATATCACCAAACCAAACATTGATTGAGACATGAAAATAACCTGCAAGTTAATGGTAATTTATAAAAAATGATATGTTGACATGTCAGAACTGTTGATGGCATGGGACATTTAGGATTAGATTACTTTATTGTCATTACATAATGCAAGCAGAGTGTAACGAAATTAGGAGGGTCTAACCAGAGTGCAGTTATATACACATCTATCAGCAGTCTGTACAAAAACTGGCGAGTCCAAAAGCCGCAGCATATACATGCGACGCCATCTTGTCAGCTGTTCAGACTGTTCAGATTTAAATAGTAGCTATAGAGCAATTTTCTGTGATATTAGTAACACCTATGCTTTTCCCTACAGCAAGTCAACATGTCTGCTACACAAAATAACCCAAGGTAAACTGACAGCATCTTCATTCATCTTTGGAAACTTTTTTTACAATTTGTCTTAATGTGGTTTTTAATACTTGTTGTCCCGCCACCTCTCTATTCTTTTATACCTGAAAGGACCCCAGACCCAGCTCGATGTAAAGTCTGGCGGCCACTCCAGTGTTTTCAGGCAGGAAGGCGAAAACTGTGTAGTGCATCCCAAACAGAGGGATGAGGAACAGCGTGGATTTAGCCAGCCTCCTGAGGGAAATGAACAACAGAGGAATGAGAGAAAGAAGAGAGACATCCGTCCAGGTAATGTAAAAACACAATCTGGAGCTAATCTGTGTTGAAGGTCCTGAAAACACATTTCAGCTTACTCTGAGCCATGGCTCCTTCCTGAACACGTAATCTTTTGGCTATTTCATGACAAATGTTTGTCATTTCAGTTTTATCTTTGCTCTTTTTAAGTATTTTGAAGTTGGTGGGACTCATGTGAAAAAAGGCATTGTCACATACCATCGTCATTTATCAACTTTGAATCATAATGAGATGACAGCGGTGGATTTGTTTGCTTACACTGCCTGGCCAATGTTCAATCAGATTTGATGTCCTGATAAAGCAACGTTTTTCAATCTTGATCTTTTAATAAACAATAACTCACAACGTTGCTTTTTACTCTGAATTTGACATTTGTTAATATTTAATGTTAAAGAGAAAACAAGAAGATTTCAGAAGCTTTAAAGTAAGAACTGAACAACACAAATTTGAATATTTATATAAAATGGTTCTTCACAGCTTGAAATGTTCCCCTTTATTGGTGTCAATCTAATCAGTGCTTTGGTTTCAAATGCCAGAATCTATTATGTCGCCAAGTTTCAACAAAGGCTCGCCGATGTGGCAGATATCACATTTTCATTAAACAAACTGACCTTTAAAACAACAGCGTCATCAGTGAAAATGTCAAAATACAGAACCCTGATTCTTTGTGCTCAAATCAGATCAGCGGTGTCTGAAAATCATGTAAATGTTCTGTTTATTATGATGACATTACAATACTGCACCAACTTGCAGCGAGGAAAAAAACTCCCCCGCTGTGCTACATCCCAAAAGAAACACAAAATCACAACCATTTAATAGTCCCCCTTTCTCTTATATCATATAACTAATGATATCGACTCAAAGCTGAATTTAAAACATAATATATCAAAGATCAATCAACAGTTAATCTAACCCCAACAGATCCAAGGATGCCACAAGGCAGTGAAAATAGTCATCTGAATATAAATAACACAAAAACCTATCTGATTAGAAATATCATCAACGATTTGGCTGCTGAAAGATTCAAGATCACTTTTATTTATTTTTATCGGATTATTTCCAGGCCTGTAATAGGATAGGGTTGTGTCACATCTGGGATTTGTGCCTTCGTGTTCATGTCACAGATCTGTCCGAACCAGATTGAAGTTTGTAAAACCGAGATGAAGCTTTAGAAAGCTTGAACACATTCATTGAACTGGTGGAGCCATCCTGTCGCACAGCAATAAAGGAGACATCTATTTCTGGTATCTGATGCTATTTTCGTGTGCTGCTCTCATTGTAAATTAATTCAGCTGAGCTGGAACTGAACCAACCAAATGTCAAAAGAAAGGAAGGATTAACTCAGGTAGAGAAAGATCTCTGGGCTACAGGAGTAGATTCATCGACGCAGCATTTCCCCTCCTAAACAGAGAGGATGTTATCAGGGGATTTTATCGATTCGCTCTCCTTTCCTTACTCGTAGTAAACTCTTCAAAGAAACTGACATCTATTTTTAACATATCAGTTTCTCACTCAGCAGTTTTACCTCGGCAGTGAACATTTGCTCAATAACACTTGATCTCCTAATGCATTGTATGAGGAAAGGAAGGTGAATCTCATTTAACCAAATTCTCAATGGACTGAAACTTAGAGGTTAAATAGGAAACAATAATTATGTTCTTATATGTTGTGTGGGGATTGGTTGCAGACAGACATCAAAGAGAAATGTACTGAAAAATGAAACGTGTAATCTTTATAAAATCCCAATGAAAGATTGCATCACTTTTGGTCACTT